TAAATTTTCAATTGGATTAAGATGTGAACTCTGTGGAGGCCACTTAATGACATCCATATTATGGGGATCAAAAAATTGCATTACTTTTTTGGCTTTGTGAATGGGGCTATTAGCTTGTTGATAAATAGCTCCAGGTGGTATTTGATCAGTCAAATTGGCAGAACATGTTACTTAACTAACTACATATAGCCTACACTTTTGAGTTTTCTATCAATTTTAACAATTGGACCAATACCAAAGCTACTGAACACACCCCACAGCAATACACCCGTCTCCTGTTTACACCATCTTTTTGACACATTCAGGATGGAATTCCTCAGTTGGGCGGCATCTGCAGCTCACATAAACATAAGCATATATGAACAGTGTGGGACTGGGCATATATGCACATCCATGTTTCGTTGCGTGCATACGTATGCAATTGGTCACTGCATTCAATGTTGGATTGTATAGCGAACTTCTTTTGTAAGTCACAGTGTCAACACACAGACTATTCATCTATTTTGTTCAGGATAATGTTTTCTTGCACACACATATATACGTATGCACATGCATTCACACCTTCTATCTATGTCTTTTTTTATCTTAGGATGGGGTCTGTGTAAGACTATGGTAGGTAAAATTGTTATTTTTAATTTTTTTTATTATTTTAAAGCTGGTTATTTGCTTGTTTTTGGCAACTGTGCTTATATAAATGGTAGAAACTACAATTTATAATACTTATTGGTATTTATGCAGTGGTATTAATTTTGCTGGGGGAAAGAAGTATCATTGTGAACTGATGTGGTAATGGTAATTGTGGTGTGGTAGTAATGGTGGGTGGAGCAGGTGATAACAATTGTAGCAGCAAACAGTTATGGTAAAATGGTAGAAATGGTTGTAGTAATGGTAATAACAATAATAATAATTATTATGATGGTAGATTGAATTAGAAAATAATTGAAGGCATTATGGTGTCAGTGGTTTCTCTTTTCATGTGCATAGGGTTAATGGTGGCTTATGTAGCAGTATTGATTGGTATTTTTTATTCGTTTGGTATAAAATTTCTGATCTTATGTTTAGTAGTTTCTTTTGTTGGATGTGGGAAATTATTGCTTCCTTTTCGTGTAGGCAAAGCAGGCATTTTTTGTAACATTGCTGTAGGCAGGTGAATTTTTCAATATTTCCCAGCTTATTCTTGGTGTAATATTTCTGTCTTTTACTTGCCATATGTATGTGGATAGTGTAGTGCTGTTTGAGTATTTTCTTTTCTTGAATGGTCCCTCAGTGTCATCGATGTGCTGTTGTTTGCACTCACCTTGGCTTTATATATTATAATCATTTGTTGGCAGTTCCCTTGGAATGGACACGTGTTTTATTTCTGCAGTTGCATTGAGGTTCCTTGGTTGCATTACTGCAGGTTGTAACTTTTTTGTTGTGGCTTTTTATTATTTGTGTTATATTTTTTGTGCAGCTGTAACTAATTTTTACACTATTTTTGTTGAATATTTTTGCTAAGCAGTTTGTTGCAGGGAAGTGCTTTTCTATTAACTTTAAGAATGTCCTTCCTATGTTTGTTTTGACAGTTTTGTTAAACCAGATAATATTCTTTTTCTGTTTTTGTGTTTTGGTTGTGTGTATTGTAGTTGTTATGTGCATCCATAAATTGAGGTGTCATTATATTTTGTACGGTTCGTATGTATTTTGTACAGGTTCAGAGTGACATCTAAGAAGTTTACTGTTCTTGTACCTCCATTTATTTATATTTTAAATAATAAAAAAAATAAACAGATGGATAGAAGATGTGTGAACTCACATGCATACATATATATGCGTGTGTGTGTGTGTGTGTGTGTGTGAGAAAACATTATTCCGAACAAAATAAACGAACAGTCTGTGCACTGACACTGCAACTTGCGAAAGAAGTTTACTACACAATCCAACATTAAATGTAGTGACCAATTGCGTACGTATGCACACAATGAAACATGGATGTGCATATACACCTAGTCCGACACTGTTCATATATGTTTATGTTAGCTGCAATGCATGAATGTGTGTGTATGTATGTGTGTGTACGTATGAGTGGTATTCTAACGATAATTTTTCCTCCCACTACCATAAAACACTAATATACGCAACCATAAATAAATCCAAAATTTAAAAATTAATCAGTTTGCCTGATGATCACAGAGCATGTGAAACCCAAGGTCACAAACTCACATCAATCCAACTAAATATATGTGTGTATGTGAGAGATTCTCATTCCATCTTAAATCAATCACAGGTGAACCTCTCAGAACAATCTAGTAATGTCACAGGTGTTCCTTGATCAAATTTATTGATAAATCCCTAATATTATACCTGTAGTTTTAATAGTATTAAAATCAGAGCATCTAGAAATTTCACTGCCTTTTTTTTTTGTTTTTTGCTAAAAAAGGATTTCAATAAAATATTGAGATTCATAGCTCAAAGCATATTGTATATACAGATTTGAAACTTGGTTATAATAGTTAATGTT